GAAGCTAGAAAGAGTCCCACCGCCGGAAGTCAGTCAAGGGGCCAACAAGCCAAGGGGGTGAAAATTTCCAAGTTGAGTCAACACGCGCATACACCGATGCAGCTTATCAGCCACGCGCTTACTTTATATAGTTTTTATTAAATTAAATATGTTACAATGATTTTGAAAGACAAGTCTCCGTGACAGAAATGCTCAACATCATTAATAGCTTAATGACTAAAAACTGATAATTTAAAATATTCTAAAATACAGTAAAATTAATAGACTTGATTTTGCCAATTTATCCGTCGCAATTATGTCACCAATGTTATGAACATTTTAAATGACCTGCAAGTGACAATTTAGTTGATTCAAAAAATCTTTGTAGTACTGCGTGGCGTAAAGTCCCACTTACTTACACCGCTTCGTTAGCATGACACTAGTTGCACTTGTACATTGGAGAAAATTTTAAAGGCAATTCCAATAAAAGTGGACAGCTGGTTCAGAAAAAGATATTTTGTGGGTACAAAAAAATTATTGGACTATTTTACAATTCTGAAATTTGCTAAATTTTTTGTTGGGGTAGCAAAATATCTTTTTGCCCACTCTAATCTAAAATACTCAACTTTACCGCTAATTTTAGGCTCTCGTAGGAAAAACTAGTAACATAAACTAGCGGCAACTCTGGTTCTGGTTGGCAGATATGGTTTTTTAACAAAACTCGTTACAGCACGAGCCGAAGGGATGATAATCCTTCGTTTTTCAAAAAAACCATTTGGGCACTCGTTGAGAAATATACTATTTCTAATCCAGCTGTCCACTTTTGTTGGACTTGCTTCTAAAATTTTTTTTAATGTGTGGTATTCCTCCTGAAATAAATTTATGTGAATTTCACATAATTTCTTTTAGTATAACATAACTTGTCGGCGCCAGAAAGTACGATTTATTTCTCGGAAAAGGGAAAAAATGTGAATTTAGCACATTGTTATAAAATTGCGTGTGATGTTCGTGACACAAAAGGCACTTTTTAGCTCGGCTATTCTTACGCTCGATGCTAAGAAGTTTAACTACCACTTTTAGCCTTCACCGTTAGATGGCGTATACCTTTATATCTGCGAATCTGCAAGTGGAAAAGTAAAAAAAATTCTATAAGTCAAACTTCATCTCCTAAGAAAATCTAAAATCTGTACACCAAAATTTGTTGTAAGATAGTTGAACGTTACTAAACGTATTGTATATAGGAGTCATTTTTTTTTAGGGGGTTTTACAGCGAGATAGAAATTAAGCAATTTCGCCTAAAAGTGCCGTGCTGCCGCCGCGCTAGGACACTTGGGCTGAAACGCCTCATAGTTAGATTAAGAGTATTTATTAGTTTTAAGGCAGATTATTGATATGGTTTTTTTCAAAAATGTTTAATTTTTTCCATAATCTTAATATAATATCAACAATGTAAATAATTTCAAAAACTAGCCACAGCAAGGCTAAAGCAAATATACATTAACAATTACGGCTAGTGGTAACATGGGCGCCTACATTATCTACAAAAATTTTGTACATTGCTTTAAGTCGTGCTGAGCACGCAAATGTATTACACCATCATAATAAAAACCTATATAAAAACTGAACTGAAAAAAGAAAATCTAAATTCGTGTATTAAAGTACGGAGTGAAAATCCAGTAGGAGCTAGGGCCCTAGGTGGATCTCGGCAGATCGATCATCGAGCGCTCGTGGTCTAGTGCCTGCGCACAGTGTCCGTATATATATTACATACATCGTTAATCGATCGAACTGAAGAGGCGCATCATCGCGCAAGGAAAAACTCAAAGTGGCTCGTATAGCGAAGAGAGCTCCGTGGCAGTATAGCAGTGCGTCAACTTAAATTGTGCATAAGCGACGACGCGACGACGCGAAGATTTTCGAGTGCCTATCGGATTCAATCCTCTCTCTCTCTTGCGTGCGTGGATCCGAAGCCCGGGCTGTGACGGGCAACAGCCGGCTACAGTACATTCAAGTGCGCGCGCGTTTGTACGAATTTGCCCCTGTGTGTGTGCATGTACACACGTAGCGCTCGACGTATTATATAGTCCCCGTGTTGGGCGATGAATGGGAAACGATACAGAACGAGAAAGAGAGAGAGGGTAGGATTGCGACGATTGCGATGATTGCTCAGGGTTCGCTGATGCGTGAACGTGTCACGCATAGGCACGTGCTCCACTGCTCTGCAGACATGGAGGGTATATCTGTGTATACGCGCGCGAGGGATGCTGATTTCAGCGACTACCCTTCGACGAGCGCGAACTCCAAGACCTACGCAATATGTATGGCCCAGCTGTGAGTGTGGGTGTGTGTGAGTTGGCATCGCCGCAGAGCCGGAATCAGCCAAATTGTCGTCGTCGTCATCGCCGTGCTCGGTCACTCGCTCCTCGAGATTATAAGTTCATCCAGTTTGGCTGTGTGCAGTTATCGCCTTCGTGCGCTTTTCAACTCACGCACCCACCCACACACACACACACACACAGTCGACTTGGCGCGAAAGTGATCGACTCTTCCACGAATCTTGCTCCTGTTGTACACTTTTGACTCGAGTGCCGCGTGTACTCGTCGATAAATACAGGTGTGCATGTGTGCGATTCGATTATATCGACCAAACTCAGAGCTTAACGTAGTTGTCATTGCTACTGTGCTTACTGCACCTCGACAATGGGACGAGTGCCTCGAGCGCGTGTAGCCTACATTTTCTCACGTTCTCGTGCATGTGTGTGTGTGTTTGTGTGCCCAGCTAACGAGTTTCTCTCTTGGCCATACCTTTCGACCCTTTTATATATCGAGTCGCGTAGCTCCTTGGGAGAAATTGCCCGAGCTAATCGCTGCAGTACTCGTACGTAAGCAGTCGGTTACGCACTGCTGCCTCTGCTACTTATATGCCCCTCGAGGCCGACAGGCGTCGAATATGCGTCATGCGCCACGCTTACCTTATTTTTTTGTTTTTATTTTCCTATTCTCGGGCCGTGCCTATTTGAGCCGGCGCGCAGTGCAGGTGCCGGGCAGTAGCAGCAGTAGGGCTCGGCGGCGCAAGCACGATAGTCACGGCTGCCCAGCGCAATTAGCATTTACGATCCCGCGCGCGCGCGCGCGGAAGCCAAGCGCCGAAGATCGGCCATAAGATAGCGGCCCATTACCTCGACGTTTTGATCGAGAGATTTTATTTTTAGATGACTTTTTGATTGTAATAACCGGCCGAGCCAGGCCTCGAGACGGCGTCGAGCCACTGCAGGGGGCGGGGGTTAAAAAAAAAGCCGAACTCGAGTTGCGTGTCTGCATGCATAATCGAGTCGCAGTTATTTACCATGTATATCTCGCTCGGCTCGGCGTATTTTGATTTTCAGACGGACCCGCGCGCGATATGCCACCTATCAGCGAGTGGCCAATGAGGCCAATGTGGCCACTGACCCTGAATCCTGGCCGCAAAGGTGTGCGACACGGAGCAGGATCGCACACACAGCATGTGCACCACGTGGGGGTCGCGCGCGAGACTGCGGAATCGCGTCACTTCCTGGTGTATTACGTCCAGCTGTGCCGAGCGTTGCGCGGAGCCTCTTATGCTCGAGTTGTATCTTCCACACCTATATTTTTTTCTCGTGTCCTTTTCCAGTCTCGCCAAAGGCCCTCAGCCATTTTAGATCATCGTCTCGCATACGTGTGAATTCAGCCTAGTCAAGTTGAATACTTCAAGCTCGAGCAAAGCGATTGCGTACACACAAAAAAGAAAATCATTGCGCTTTGATTTTTCAGACGTGTTTTTACTCGTACCCATGTAGGGTGGCACGTAATATAAACAGGACCAAAGCCGCAATAAAGATAATCAAGAACAGCTTAAAGCTCGCTCTAAAAACAATTTTAGCTCCCAATCATCGGCAATGCATACGTAATAGAGAGCTAGGCTGCCGTTGAGCAGTAACGCGCCGACGCAGCCCCTTTTGGTCAAACGAAAATTCTCTAAGCAAAGCAAATCTAGGCGGCCGAGGGAGCCAAAAAGCGCGAAAAGTAGCGGTAGCTCGAGTGTCTCTCTGCGTGCGCGCGCGTGTGTGTGTTTATGTACGTGCGACAAAACACCCGAGGCACGAGTCGCTGTGTGATCTTTGCAACGTCATATAGCTACGCAGAGCTAGCACCCAGTGCGTGATTGCCGTGACGCCCGAGGCTGTGCCTGGTGTGCTGCTGCGCCTCTCGTTCTCTCACTCTGCAAGCTCACAAAGAGAATCTACGTTCTCTCGCTGCTACTGCTTCTGCTCGACATAACGCTTGGACGCTTCACAAAGCACCAAGAGAGCTCGTGCAAATTCTCTCTCTCTCTCACCTTTGTACTTGCAAGTTGCATGCGTGCGCGAAGCGAGTTTCTTTGGCGCCTGCCGCTGCTACTGCTGCTACTGCCAGCTTACGTACATCGCAGCCGAGGAAGCTTTTCCGTAGCCGCGAGCTTTCAATTTTCTCGCCTTCTCTCCCCTTTCCTGCCGCCTTGAAAATCTCTTCTGTGCGGAGTTACGTGTGTACATTACAGAGCGACGAAACAACGAGTGCACACACGTATATGACACTTTGCCTGCTCGCGCGTTTGACGTGTGTGTAATGCGCGCCTCGCCGAATTTCATAACAACTGGAGTCGCGACGCTGACACCTTTCATCTCTCTAATTTGCCCCCAAAGAAATTACGATCATCCGTCATGCGATAATGTTTCGCACCCGGGCGAGAGAGCGAGGCTCGAGCTTTCGAAACGAGGCGCGATGCAATAATATCGTGATTCGCGCCTGGCCCGGGCGCGAAACATTAATCCAGCACTTAACGACCCATTGTACCCACCCCCGATCTCCTGCACAGTTAGTATTTCTCGTAATTAAAAATGTAAAAAAAAAAAAAGGAACGAGGAAACGAGCCATCCTATGACGTGCTGCTGCTGCTGCTGCTCGTCGCCCGTATAACGCGCGATATACAGTAGTACAACAACAAAAAAGTGCCAACTCACCCTGTCCTGGGGCTGGTGACGTGGCATGGCTCCAACCGCCCTTGTAAGAACTGCCGGCATCTGCAACAGCCAAAAATATTTATATTGAGTATACGTTCAAGTTCCTGAGCGGGTAAACAATCGTAGTTTGACTTTTGAGAATGGTCAATCAACTTGAGAAAGGAAGGAAAAGTCAGTCATATGGGAGAGAAAATTCGCTACAAGTGGGCAAATGAGATCTAGAGGGATGCACGTGTGTGGAGGTGCCAGAATCGCCTCAAAATCTTCACTCATAACTAGTAATGTAAACACACGTACACCCACACTTGTACATCGGTCAATATGTTCTTTCACTTTCGCAACTTGGGCTATTTCTGACCGAATTGGAACTCTCGAATATGTACAATATTTATTGCCTTGCGCAGGAACGCGTCGTCGCTCATGCAAGGAAGGAGATGGGTGGTGCGCGGTGTAGCAGTGGATATGCACGCAATCGTAAAAATCGCACGAGAAAGCTCATGTATCAGCGAGACGTAGAAAAGCTTGTCTTTTGGCCGGCCGAGGCGATTCTCTCTCTCTCTTTCGTTTTTTTTTATTGTCCTCGCTTCGACGACTTTTCGTACCCTTGCACGCACTCGTGTGATCGCGAAAACACAGCTGTCTGACGTGTGTGTACGCAGACATTCATATAATAAAGAGTGAATGTGTGGGAGAGAGACACGAGTAAAGTACGACTTTTCTCGGTTGTCTCTGTCTCTCTCTTTCCGACGAGCTTCGGGTCGGAGAGCCCCTCGCATATTCCGTGCCTCGACGTCTTTTTTTCTCAATCGCTGCACATCAAACATTAGCTTCCCATCTTAGTCGATTTACTCGAATTTCAGCCTTTTTTTCCCTTGTGTTTACGCGCTTACAAACGTTTTCTCTATAAATTTTTTTATTTTTCGTATTTATTGTAACGGGATAATTAGCCTTTGAACAGAACGCAATTGAATCTGACTAGAACTTTACATCAAAGTGGAGAAAGTCAAGTGCTATCTGCATTGTCTTACTTCAAGTGACTGGAAAGATCAAAGGTACACAAGTTTTTTCCCCGAATCATCGAGATACATAACTACAGCGAATTCCCAAGCGAAGCGTCAAATAGCTCATTCCGAGCACTGATCAAGTACATATCATTCTATCTCAATCGACTGCGATCGACATATATTCATTGTACGGTTATTAGAGGGGTCGAAGGGACGTTTAGCAGTTGGCTTGTTTACCGTCGGCCGTCGGCAAACACGCGCACGTCGCGCTCACTGCTTTGGCCATTAATGAAGCTTCGGATTTCACGGGAGCTTTCCACGAGATGCTGCTGATGCTGCCACTACTAGTAGCCCCTTCCTTATAGCATAGCATATAATATAAAAGGCGAAAAGGCTGATCGCTGGAGCGTCTCCACAGAAGCTATGACTGCGTGTCGATCACCACTGATCACTTGCTCCCGGATTTTGTAAGCGATATACATTGGACTGTGATCATGATGATCGCTGCGCACTTTACTTTTGGGCATTTTCGAACAAGAAGATTATAGGGATTGTTTCTACGAGGGGTGGTGGTAGAGATACTGCCTATGCGTTTGTTTGTTTAAAGGGTGCTTTATTGGGCGTTGATGAGGTTTACGTCCGATTTGAACTTTGATTCAGCGAAAATTAAATGTTTTTCCACGCTCGGTATTTTTCTTTAGCCATGACAATGTATTTCATTTCAAATTTATTCGTGGTGACACCCTGTGACTGACGCGATATTGCGGTTGAAATTCAAATTGAATCCGCAACACATGATGGCCGATTGCGTATAATAAATTCGACCTTGGCAGCATATCCGCAGAATGAGCAGCTTGCATCTTTCAATAGAAGTTTTAATAATATTTTTGAGTGTTACATCATCAGCTTTTAAATGAAGGTCGATGCTTTGAAAAGTTATTGTACTTCATATGATATCCTGACAAAGTCACGAATGCTTATTTTACGAATAACTAGATTCATGTACAGCTGATCCTGAAAGCTTAATAATGCTATTTTCACGAATGTATACTATTCATGGAATTGTAAAAATATTTTCACGAAACCACATCGTTTAAAATGTCCGAAGGATTTTTTCCGGTTTACAAGTTTTTTTAAATAAAATACAGGGCAAATATAATGATCATTTTAGCATGACTAATGTCACGTTTATGAAAATATTAGAACAAGGTAAAAATATATCGAAACAAAAAATTTAAAATGTTTCAGTTTTAGCTACGTGTACCCACAGAATAGTGACTATCTCACATCATATAGCAGTCAGTTCTTCCTCCCTATACTCGAGGTCAGTGAGAAATACAACAAATTGCGATTAAATTAGTATACGTACCGGCGAACAACATGGAAAGATTACTGAAAGCCGTGGTGCGGGGTAATTCGGCGGCGGTGTTGCCGCTGGCTTTGAGGTCGAGCATATCTCGCAGGGCCCAGCGACCGAAGCGAATCTCGCGCGATCGAGGATCCTCCCGGGAGTAGCCGGGGATCCTCTACCCTTCAAGTCAAGGCCCACTCGGGTGCACGTGTTTCCTGTCTCTGAGGAGCTTTATCAACTGCTGCTCTACGGTGGGGTCACACTTTCACTGCTGTATCACACAACGAGAGTTCACGGGTTTCTCTGCGAACGGGTCGACACTCGCGGAGAGCCACGTGCTGCAAATACTTCGGAAACGGCCGCAGTACATCGGTCAGAAACGACAAAGACGTTACATCCGCTTGTCCATAACACACGGGCTTAAAACAGTTTGGCTGCGAGGCTCTCTCGTCCGTGGGAGCGATCGACGGAAGAAAAAAAACTTCAACACGTCGCAGTGCTGCTTCGCGTTGTTACTGCTCGCGTAGCTGACTTTGAGGCAATAAAACGCGTGTGTGCGCCTAGTCGAGCTTGGGAGCTGCTGCTGCTGCTGGTGTCGAGCTTTCTGCTTGGCGCGAACTTTGACGACGCCCTCTAGCATCGTCGCGAGGATCTACGTGCGACGATCTATCTCGCGTACAGCACACAGTCATATGCAGCAATGCACACACTACGCTCGGCACTATACGATCCGTGCCAATGTGTGTCCGTGTAGCTGTGCTGCCACTGCTGCCTAACTGCCTCTGTGTGTGCGTATTCGTGCACTGATATACCGACGATGCGCGGCCGAGGGGGTGGCGCCCGCACACACGCACACGAGCACGGGGACGTGAAAGCTGGCGAGCTTTGGCGCGGGTGTCGAGGCGCGCTGCCGCGGCGGCGGAGGGGGAGAGCCGGCGACGACCGCCTACAACGAGCGACCCAGTACTACCTATCGATAGGCGGGGTTAGCGATTCCATTGGAGCGCGACGCTTGCGCACTCGATATCGCTACGTGCAACGACGTTGTGCGCGTGTGTGTGTGTGGAAAAGAAAGAGAGGCCTCGGGCCAGCAGCAGCTCTCGAGGATCCGACGCTCCGAATAGATAGTTCCAGCCTGGGCACTCGAATGTCAAGTTCCGTACATATGCGGGCCAACCGATAGCTGGCTCTGGTTCTTTGGCTCTTTTAGCTCGAGCTGCACTGCTTGCAGCGATCAAAGCGCACGGCCGGCAAACAGCTCAGTTCGCCATCTCCAGGAAATCGCTTTAATTTGCAGTGCAGTTGCTGGGTCTGCCGCAAGCTCGAGACTACTATAGCCGGAACAAACATGCCAATGAGGATTGCAAGCACGAGCTTGATCCTGATAATCAGCGAGCTTGCAATGACACTTTTTGACAACTATTTTATATTCAGGGTTGCTTTGCCACGTCGCAAACGCTTTTCAAAGGTCACAAAAGAAGTCTAAACTTTATTGAGTACATTATTTATTCAAAAATGGTCGTACTTTGTTAGAAAGGAGGCCAAGACGTACAATACATATTTAGGTATAACATACTTTTCGGCAATAGAAATCGGAAAATATCTGGTCGCTAGAGCAAGAAACGAATTGAGCTTGATGAATTACACGAATTCGTATGAATTGAACTTGTTAGGATCTGAATATCGAACAGCTTCTATGTTTAATCTCAAGTCTGAGTGGCCGATTCAAGTTGCTGAACAAACAAACAACGAGCTAAAGACAGGCCACTCGTGCTGTTCACGTGCGAGCGATTATTTTGCCGTGTCTGTGCGTGGCAGTATGTATATAGATAGTGCGTTGCGATTTCATGATGATATTGTCCTGAATCGCAGGGTAGTGTAATCCTTCACTGTAAAGTTCTTTTGAGCTCGAGGTGTGATTCACGCGCAGTGCTTCATCATTTTTGCTCAAATTGGCAGAGAAACCATGCTTTGACTTATACAAATATTTGTACTTTGCCATTTGCAGATTTATAGATATTGGTATTCACCATCTAGCGGAGAAAACTTGAAGTGATATTTTATAATTTCAAATATTTTAAATGATCAATTTGGGATCATTAGAATATTATCAATGTTGAGCATTTATATGAAGTTACGTGTAACATTAACCGGTCGTTAAGTATTTTATGAAGTTTAGCCGAGCTTTATATCGACATTCCCAGCATAAGCACAGTCGAACGAAGTATGATTGACCGATCGATTGAAACAATGCAATTGATTAAATCAAGGCCAAGTATGTTGCAAGTATAAACGAGCAACCGGTCGAGCAGCGATTTAGATCAATTGGCAAAAGGGCCATTGCGAACAGCATAATTCGCATCTATAGTATGTGCGCGGGGGCAATCAGCTGCACAGCCGAACGTGGGAGAGCTTTGTTTACGTAAACTTGCAATTTCGACGCCTTGATCCGCGACAAAAGAGCAATAATAACACACGTGGGGCCCAGCTTGAGTTTATTATACATTAGAACGACTGCGATACGTGTGCACAAGCCGGCCGACGAGGCAAATCTTCGAGGTCGAACTGGCGAGATTTATTATAATAGGTAGACAACGCATATTCACTGCCGCGCTCGTGTATAGGTGATCGCATGTGTGGTGTATGCGGACGCGTGCGACTGCGCTGACTGCTTTACTGTCTTGCACTGCCCCGTGTCTATGTGT